GTTGTTGCAGGTATACATATGGCACAGAACAGAATCGAAAAAACCTTGTCGAGTATTGTCAGGACACTCAGGAGCTGTGAACTGTGTGAGTTGGAACCCGATGGATATGCATATGTTGGCCTCAGCGAGCGATGATGGAACAATTCGGATTTGGGGAATTGACAAGAACTTGAACTGATGGTAACTGATCTTATACTTGACTGCAAATTTGTTCATTTGATATTCATCATGTACATATGATATATAGAGAGAGACCTTTTATGTGTGTAATGTTGTTTGCACTCTTGATGTTTTTGCTCCCTTTGAGTACAATCCCTATAGATAACAACAACACAAGTTTGTATACCAATAGTGAGAAAAAAAAAAAAAGGATATCGAGACATTTGCTCTTGTGTTCATGCTTCACTTTTCATTTTTCTAAGTGTACTATTGCTCACTCTTTCCATAGATTCTAGATTTGAAATTGGTCAAATGTTTACCTTGGTCTGTTTCAAAACACTCTTTTAACTTGAATCAATCAAAGTCGGCTTGATAATGAAGGAAAAAACTTTGGTATGTTGAATATCATTTGCTAAAATTAAAACCAGACTCTTAAACAGATATCATTTGGAAAAAAAACTTTGGTTTTTAGATAGGCTGCTGCTACTACTGATCTCGACCTTGGACATAAGACGGTCTCACTAAACCCGTGAGACTGCAATAGACAAAAAAAATTTGGACCATTTCTCGATTTGTGCGTGTCATCCTTGCGCAGGGGCCATGCTAATCTTCTCTGTATCGTTCCAATTTTATCGGATGTCCCCGGAGGGACTATCACTCAGGTGACTCCATTGATATATAAACACAGCTTCTTCTTCTTGTATGAGCGATGTGGGACATTTTGGCTCGTTTACACTAAAAGGTCTCTTGCTTTTTGGGCCCATTAACATTATTAAGGTTTCTAAGCGATAGCTTTTTTCGCAAAATCAAAATCTTATTTGGTTACGTTCTGAGCCCATGATTTTTCAACGGCAGTATCAACGGAGAAGATGATTTTTCTTGACGGCGAGATGCGTGGAAATATAGAAGCATGAAATTTCAAAGTTATAGTTGAATAATGATGGTACCAACTACAACAAATAGATCTCACCATTTTTCAATAAATTTGTTTAATTTGTAATACACAGGATCAAGACGACTTAATCCATTGTATTTTATAATTTCAAAAGAATTAGAAAACTGTTTTATTTATGTTTAACATTTAAACTTACGAGTAGTTTTGAGCCATTGCGTTTCCACACATGATATCTAATTTAAAAGCACATACAAAATTAAGAGTTTCAAAGAATACAAAACAATATTATCCACAAGTAATTATTGACCATTCTCTTGACTTTATGTATGAGAAAGTATGTAGCAACCCCACGTGGTTAGCAATAGATTGGCCCATAGTATCAGAAAACAACTTCATATGAGATGTATCTTTATGGGTCATATAAACTTTTATTCAAAACCTTAAATATATAGATGACATATTATTATATAATATAAGGTTTTGACAATCGAACCATGGTATTTATTAGAGAACATGAAGAATGGTTATGAATCAACTTTTCACGTGATGGCCGGTTTTGGCTGCTCCTGCTCCAATGTAATCACTTCATATAAGTAATTTAGTTTAGTTATGGTCGGTTGATACACACATGCATATGGTACGTAGTAACTTATTACTAATCGAGATAATCAATGGGGTTTGTCTCTTTTTTTAACCGACCTTGGCCATGCAACGACGTACGACCTCAGCTAGTTTGTATTCAAGTGTTTTTTTTCGTTTAAAATGTCTATATGCAATAATAATTAAAACATAATTTGAGAGCCCTTTAGTTTAGTGGCATTCATGTATAAAACACTTGGAAAATCTTAGATATTTAAGTATTCTCTTGATAGAGAAAATATTCTTAGTATTTTTCTACCCTACAAAAAAACATATCAATTTTTGACCAATTTTTTTTTKTWGTCAAAAHTWKTTTGAWAWTTTTTGACCAATTTTTAACGGATTCGTAAATTTGTCAAAAAATGGTCGAAAACTTGCGACAAAGAAGATTGGTTGAAAATTGGTCAAGAAAATATGTTAATTTTTTTACCAAATTTTTGACCAATAAATTGGTCAAAATGTTTGTTGACAAATTTTCGATCAAAAAATTATGAAAATTTAAACTCGTCAAAATATGATCAAAATTTTTTTGACTAATACAAGTGGTCAGTACATAGTCAAAATATTCTTACCATTTATCGAGTAAAAAAAAATTTGATCGAAACTTCGTAAGTAATTTTTGACGAATAAATACTTGACAGAAATTGGTCACAACATTATCGACCAAATATTGAGAAGAACACTTCTATTGTATTTGTCCCACATCGCCAATATGGGAGGGTTGAAACTTTGACTTTCACTATAAAATAACACTTCTCCATTGTGAAAAACGTAAATGGGCTTCATGGCCCAAATAGTTAAATTTTAAAATATTTAATCGATGATTGAGTATATATTTTGAAATTATTATGAATC